ATGAAGAGCAAAGCATGTATTTATAATATTTATATGATAAACACATTTTATATAGTACATGTACTTTTTTCTCATATTTTTAGTTTTTTAGGTAGGCTAATGTATGTTAAAGGTGAAACAGACAATTTTCAGTTGAGTATGGTTTTCAGCAATGATCAACGTGATGCTTTAATCCTAAACTAAAATCAGCAGGAACTAAATAGGAGAGATAAAAGAATGTTTTTATAATCTAAAGTGATTGGCTTTATTCAACACATATTTGTAAAATAATCCATCTTAACTGCTGAGACTTTTAAACTTGTACATTAAATTTCCTTTATTTAGGAAGTTTTAAAGAGTCAAGAAGAAAAGGGAAACAGGCACTTTATTTAGTTTTCAACATCATTTATTCATCTTTGTATTGGTAATACATTCCCATAGCTGATAATCTAAAAGGACACAAAGGAAATTCTTTTTCTCACATTTGACATATTCACTCAGTTCTTTCCAGAGGCAACTAGCAATATCAGTTTCTTATGTATCTTTTCCAGGGCTAATTTTAATTTTGCACTTGCTTTATACATAAGCACGTGAATGTGTGTTTGTGTGTGTGTGTGTGTGTGTGTGTGTGTAATGTGTGTGTGCATAAGTATCTTATATATCTTATGACTTTTCAAACAAATAAGAGCATAAAATGTATTCAATTTTTGTGTTGACCATCTAACAGTATATCAGTTCATGAGAAGCTTCCATATCCATTATAGTGGTTACAAGATATTTAGTTATATATAAATATAACAGTCTATTTTGTTTATAATTAAATAGTATTTGATAAATATGTGGTTTTCAATAAATTATCTCATACAATTATTTAAATAATCCTATGAAAGCATAATCATTTCATTTTACACATAAGTATTTCACTAATCAGAGTTAAATAACACTTGTTTATGGGACTGGGATTCTCCAGGCCCAAATCCCAAGATATGACAAATATTCCAATATATTTTTGTCTAAGTTCAATTTCATGCCATTATCTGATTCAACTTGATAAAACTGTGCCCTATCCTTTCAAATTTTCATCAGTGTTTCAATAATTATTTATATGGTAAGTAAGTTTTTAATAAAAGTAGAAGTTGAACAAAACAGTAAAACTGAACTGGTTGAGCTATGGTAAAAATTCAAAGTATTTTTTTTCTCTTGTCTGTTAAATGATCCATGGCAGAAAAAATATAGAGAGAATACTCTTAAACATTGATGTCAAGACTATGTTTGTGGAAGACAGTGTGGCGATTCCTCAAAGACCTAAAGACAGAAATACTATTCAACCCAGCAGTCCCATTCCTGGGAATATACACAAAGAAAAAATAAGTCATCCTATCAGAAAGACACATGCACACATATGTTCATTGCAGCACTATTCACAGTAGCAAGGATATGGAATCAACCTAAATGCTATCAATGATAGACTGAATAAAGAAAATGAGGTACATATACACCATGGAATACTATGCAGCCATAGAAAAAAACGATAACATGTCCTTTGTTGAGACACAGATAGAATTGGAGGCCATTGTCCTCAGCAAACTAACACAGAAACAGAAAACAAAATACTGCAGTTATCACTTATAAGTAGGAGCTAAATGGTGAGAACATACAGACACATAGAAAGGAACAACACATACTGGGGCCTTTCAGAGAGTGGAGGGTGGGAAGTGGGAGAGGATCAGGAAAAATAACCAGTTGGTAGTAGGCTTAATACCTGGGTGATGAAATAATCTGTACAAAACCCCCCCATGACACAAGTTTACCTACGTAACAAAGCTGCTTTTATTTTCCTGAATTTAAAACAGAAGTTAAAAAAAGAGGATGTGAACTATTTCAGTTAAATAACATTCAAAAAAGGTGAAAAAACCCACAGAAACATAACCTTCATATGCCTCTTCTATCTTATGAAGAACATTATTTGATGTTGAATTTCTTACATTGCCCTCTGTTTTCTAAAGCTGTTTTTCTCTTCTCTTTTATAAGTATCAAAAAGTAATAAAATATATGCTTAGCTCTCTTTCAACAGTATTCAATTCCCTTGAAATCCTTAAATAAAATAGTTTAACTGAATTGTGACTAAGGAGTAAATGGCCTTCAAATCTTCTAGGAAAAAGGTAAAATAATAAAGAATCAAGAAGTACTATAAGTAGAGGCATTTCAAGAGTCCACTTATTTCTTACGTTTGTGGTAGTCTTCCTTTTGCTTATTGGCTGAGCTCACAGCTTTCTCTCTTCCCTAAGGATGACAAAAAAAATATGCCTTTAGTGATGATACTTATATTATGTTACTCTGCCACCAGGACCAGAGTGGTTTGAACTAATCATAGTTACCTGATGTAAGGTTAAGCCAATCAGCTTCTTTACAAGAGGAAGTTAAAATCAATCTCTAATTGGAAGAAAAAAAGCCATCTTGTGGTCCCACGGAAACAGCAGGGTATGGGAGTCTATGAACATCTGCTGAGCTCCCAGTCTTTTATTTCCTGTTTTTATTGTTTGACTTTCTTTTCTTTATCTTTCAAATAATTATCCACCCCATTTCTTGGTATTACTGTTTCCTTTAAGCATTGATGTATCATTTTTAAAATTTTATTCAACAAATATTTAATATGAACTTTGAACTTCAATATGTTTCATCCTATTTTAGGCACTGAGGATACTGCAACAAATCCAACATGATTCTACTCTTGTTCAATTTGCATTTTAGAAGGACTGAGAGCAACAAGAAAACAAACATATCATAATTTCATGTAATGACAAGTGTTATGGAGAAAAAAATCTAAATAATATGCAACGAGAGGAAGTTGGGATAAAGGACTATTTTGGATAGGAAACAGCAAGAGCCCTGTTCATGGAGCAGCCATTGCTCAGACTTAAATGACAGAAGAAATGAGATTGTAAACCTTAGGAAGTTCTGGGGAAAGAATATTCTAATGAGGAAGACAGGCATGTTCAACAATACTCCTAAAGAACTACACGTTCACGTGTTAAAAAAAAAATGTAGTGAGGAAGGAGGAATATGATAGTGTAGTGACTGAGCAAGTTAGAAGGAATGTGCCACACACTGAGTTCCAAATTAAGAGTCCTTTTATTAGATGGTGACCAAGAGACAGCTAATGCTCAAAGTTTTCTCAGCCCTGAGGAAGGGGCTTGATTATCTTTTATACCTTGATTTAGGTAGGGGAGGTGGTACCTGGCTGAAGAGGAATTTTACAGAAGCAGAAAAGCAGGTTGGAGAAAAAGGCTGTGGGCACAGGTGTTTTCCATACAATCACCAATAAGGGGGGTGATCAGGCTCCAGCGACACAATGATCAAAGGGAAAAATGTTTTTTTCTTACAATAGCAAGGGGGGTATGCCAAGTAGGATGTGGTTACAATGGTTACAAGTGTTAGGAACAGTACGCTTCAATGATTCATAAGTGCAGCATAACCCAGTTATGCACTCAGTGGGGCTGTGATAGGGAGGGGGAAGCTAGGCTAGAGTTTACAGCTAAGATGGAGTCAGTGATGCTAGCCCAGGGTAGGTTATTACAATAAGACAGGAGAAAAAGTGGTCAGGCAACAATATTTGAAATTGTAAGAGTAAATTTTTACAAATTAATTTACTTTTGGTAATTTACTTTCTTGATTTAAAAATAAAGATTAAGTGACTTTGTGGATGTATCGATGTGAGATAACATATTAAAATCACATAGCACATTGTTCCATATATAATATTTGCTTTTCTTCTCTTCATTATGTTATTGTTTAAATGTGAAGGTTGAGAGAAACACTTACACTATCATTATTATGGATTTAAGAATATATTTCATGAGGCTCTTCAAAATGATAGAAAGACAAAAACTATGAGTAATTACAGTTAAGTTGTTAGAAATAGTGTTTGATTTTCCTTGTGTTGATAGTATAATGTTGTCTTCTATACACAAATATAAGTAATGCACCTGATCTGACATTAATAGACAATATAGTTTTAGTGACATAGTTTGAATTTAATAGTTGAACTGTGCAATTTATGTTTTCTTTTTCACCTTTCTTTTATTGACCATGTACTGAGAGTTCACAATATGCTAGAACTTTCCTTTGAATAACGTCTAACTAAAACATCATTTACAATTCCAAAGAGGCAGAGAGGTCGAATTCTGCCCCCATCGCCCTAAATTTAAATCTGGTTATTTCTGATTCTAAACTCATTTTATTTGCACTACACTGTCCTGTCAGCAATAATTACAAATAACATCTTTTGAATATTAACTGGTTGGGTTAGCAGATGTTGCTTCTGAGAAGGAGAGGGTTTTTCTATTTAACATAGCTTTCCTATGCATAGGCAATAACTTCCCCTCAAATAGGTAATATAGAAACTTGAATGAAAAATGGATGAATTAATAAAACTAATAGACATCAACTGCCCCAAATATTTCTGGAATTACAAAGGACAGAAACAAATTTTCAAGCCTGGTTTAAGAAGACATAAAATGTCAACACAAATATTAGTGCACAACATTCTAATTAATTGTAGTATTGAGTTCAAACATTTGAACAGGTTTGCCTTTTAAAAGAGAATTATTTATAAATATTACTGTTTTGCCATCTGGTGACATCTTGTAATGCTTATTTATATAAGGACATGTTAAAGGAAAATAATGACATGTTAAAAGATGATGTTTAGGCTTCAATATTGCAGTTAGGAGATGGCATTTATAAATTTGGATTATTTGCAAATAGATGTATTTCATGTTTTATTCCTCACTTGACATGCCAAAAAAAAATAAGAATAAGAAGAAGAATGTGTATTCATCTCTTTTTACTTTCCTGTCTTGCATAACTTGATGGAAAATGAATTATTTGATGCCGGGTTAGAGATCATTGCAGTGCCTTCTCTCTGTGGTTTTGCAATAATTGTCAAATATTAAAGTAATCTGCAGTAGAACATGTTCATTTATATAAGGATGAAGTAAAGCTGTTTTCAGTGATGTTACCTGAGGTTCTCTGAATTTCTCTGGATATTCTATCGCAGCACAGGGCTCCTTCTTCTCAAAAGATGGTGTATTCTCTGAGTTCCAGCTTGACATCTGGCAAGTATACCATAGATGCATTTGCTGGTCACTGGAGTCCTGTCAAGAATAATTAATTTGTACTTCTTTTGGTCCCCTACTGCAATAAAATGGTGAAAAATTTTCACTAATCACCCAGAAAAAATACTAAAAGATGAAAACAGTGATATAATGCACAGTATTTCTCAAAGCCCATTGCCCAGTTAATATACAAAGTTCTTTATTTTTAGAACCATGATTTTAACAAAAGAAGAAAGCAGTGCTAGGTCTACATGTATTTCATGTGTGTATGTATGCTTATGTGTGTGTGTGTTTATGTATTTGCGTGTGTAAGGCAAATGTTACTTGAAGGATGGTAATGAGCAATAACAATTCATTTCTTCAGTTGTTTAAATATAAAATATTATTCTTCGTTTGTTCCAATACTTCAATTAAATGTTACCTCCCCTTGCTGTAAAAAAAAATATTTTAAATCTTTGGACTTGCTTTGCCTTTATGAAATGTTTTAATACTTTAGGGGCCAGAATCAACTACAATTGACAGATAGTGTTTTAAGGAAGACATTATTTAAAGGATAAATATATATATATATACACACATATATATATATATATGTATGTGTGTATATATATATATATATATGTATGTATGTATATATATATATATATATATATACCCAGAATAGGAGTCAAATATTATAGCTTTATGAGGAATGGTCTCATTATATTAGATTAATGAAACATGTAAAGTTCCCTGGATGTTACTCAATTTTTTGCTTAGCTACATGTTTACACATTTTCTTTTAAATTTTTGAAATAAATGAAATGAGTGGCAGAATAGAATTGCTTGAGAAAGCAAAATAATTTTATATCTCATTCTTCCAAAATTTGTTCAAAGATTTCCTTGAGAAAATAAATGTTGATTAAAGTAAAAAGGGAGGAAGTAAAATGGGGAAAGAAAAAGGAAGGGAGTGAGAATTACATCGAGTAATTCTCTGTTTCTGAATTAGCTCAGTCACAATTATGTCTTTGCCAATCCCAATGAATAGTTTTCAAACAAAAATAAATATATATCATAAAGTAGTGGGTGAGGAATTGAATGGTTATCTTTTCCTAGCCCTTGATGATTGACCTGGGCCAATTTTCAATTTTTTAATTATTACCTTTAGTCTCTATATTTTATTTTCAAAGCCAGAAATAAAATAACATAACATACAGATGTTATGTTTGACTTCAATACACACACACACACACACACACACAGACACACACACACACACACATAATTCACTGGTGACAATGCATCAGTACTTAAAAATATCACATTTTTAACGGTTGTGAAAATTAAGTGAAATAATTAATATAATACACCTTGCAAAACATATAGTAGCCATTCAATAAGTGTAATCTATCCCTTTTATCTATCTGGCATTCTTTTAGTAGGAAAAAATATCATCAGCTTTGTAATAAGAACCATTTTCAAATTAAAATTATTTAATAAAAATAAAATAATTCAATTGCTTTAATAAAAATATCAACTTTTATGGAGTTGAAAGAAATGAGTGCACATATATAAAATATATACAGTCTATATCTCATTTAAATATATATATTCTATATACAGAATATATATAATTAAATGAGACTAAATATATAGAATTATTAAAATTCTATATATTCTATATTCTATACATATAGAATATATATTAAAAATCTATATTCTATATAGAGAGATTATATATATTCTATACATACAGAATATATAGAATTGTATCAATTTAACATAGTTTAATTATATACTAATAATTTATTGTATGTATATATTCTCTATGAGCTTATAAACTATTATTATCATCATTATTTTACAAAGGTCAAGCTATCATAGAGTGAGATATTCTTTGATCACACAACCAGTAAGTAATAAAACTAGGGTTTGAACCCAAGCTATGTCTCACTTATAACCCCTTTACTGTTATTTTCCTGAAAGCAAATATAATCTTTGTTTAGAAAAAATTCCTAATAACCTTATTTAAAGAAAAATTTATACCTCAGAGGGACCAGTAGATTACAGAACTCCATGGTTTGAGATAAAAAGGAGAAGTACCATGGTTTTTGTGGAAAAAAGAAGATGGCAGAGAAAAGAGAAGAAAGCTGGGCAGTTGCCGTGTCTGGAAGGAGCAAGGCTTTACTATATTCTGATGCTTCCACACCTCCAATTCTTTTATCAAAAATACATTGCAATCATAAGTGTCTTGATGGAAAAGAATTCTTGGAGAAATCACTAGAGGTTAAAGAGTTCTGGCACTTAGATTTCCGTTGATTAGATATTTGTCTGCCTTCTCCCCATCAGCTTCTCAAGGCTAAGAGTTGGTCTATGCTCAGGAGATAGTAGGAATTTTAAAGAAGGGATTAGAAGCTCCAGGGTCTTCCCCAGCTCTGCCACTAGCTATGGGAACATGTGTGAGTTTCGTAATTTATTTTTGTCCGAATTCTAATTCTTCTGGCCCTTTGAGTTTATCATCATAAAATTAAAGATATTCTTTAAACTTTTCTTCAAGTGCATAATATATTGTTATGTCTCTAATGAGAAATTCTCTACCACATGATTACGGAAATTATTTATGAACTAAACCAAAAATGCAAAAATAATATAATATTCATGTAAATTCAAAGTTATATATTACCAATGTATAAATATTTTGGAATCATTTTCCTGGTTTCTTAACTTTTTTAGAAGTTATTTCCTGCAGTTTGCATACCGTTAGATTTAAGAATCCCCATCACTAGCACACATTTGTTTAAATGAGCATATCCAACTACACAATAGGTAGAAATAGTCTAAATCTTATTAACTCTAGTGATTGCTTTAATAACCATTTCAATGAAAAAGGCATGTTGCTGCCAAATTTTATCCAATATATTGTCTCATTGGTTGCATAAAAAAGACAAAGTAACTCTGAACTATAACATATTCCAAAAATCTGGTGGTTCATGAAGTGAGAAATTATGGGCTTGGGTTTTTATAAAATCGGAAAGGTCAAAAGGGTAAGCAGATGGCTAGCTGTAGAATTTATTGCACATTAAGCAATTGTGTTGATGTGCCAGGCAAAGTCCTGGAAGCTTATGAGACTGTAAAATCCAATGACCTGGTATTAAACTGAGGGTTCAGTTCATGATACGCATGCAATTTTAGAGATCACATCTATCACTTGTTTATTATCTGTCAGAAACTCACACCATTCAACACAATTAATATCCTGCACTGTAGTTTTTACTATTGCTTTTTATTTAACCTCTTTTTTTTTTCCATCTTGGAATTTTATGCTCCTTTTACAATATTACTAAGTTCAAGATAATCAAGTGACAGCTCAGCAATGCTAAATTATTTTCCAGTAACTTTTCAGTACTCATAAGTAATAAAATTTTATAAGGGATATAAAGAATTTAGATACTCAATCCCACATGCTTTCTTCAGTGTACATCAGTAATATTATTGTCATTAGTTGGTGCTTTGGAATACAGAGAGCAGCAATATATTTTTCATAACTACATAAGAAGCTTAAATTTCCTTTCTTAAAAAAAAATGTTAATCCCAAGAAGATGATCTAAGGTATTATAGTTGCAGACTCTAATCAAGCAAAAACAAAATTGTCAAAGACAAGTATCTTGCACACTTGAGAAAGTGTTTTCTGAAGACTTGTTTGTAGTGTTATACTAATAAAAATTTACCGGTATACTACAAGATAGCATACCATAGTGCTCCTTGTCAGATATTTTTAGTAGATGATGATAATAACTTAATATTTACTCAATGCCAGATATGGAAGAGGAATTACTACAGCCTTAAATGTTTTATAAAACTTTACCATCTTTTCTGAGTTTCCAAAACTATAGGATTTATAATTTTTAAGAATATTATATGAATGACCATAATTCTATTAAGCATACATTCAAAAATTCAAACTGTTCATAATTCTAAATAACAACTTGACTAAACCATAGATCACCATTATGTTCATTTAATTAAAATATACTAATTTTAATGCATTTAATTTTGTTTAATTGTACTTCCAACTTTTTGACATGCTTAGCTAGGCCATCCTTACTGTTTCCAAAATAATCAAATGATAACATTCCTACTCCACATGTTTTAGAGAAACCACTATAAACATCAAAACATCATACTCAGAAGAACTTTTCCCCATATATACTTTTCAATCAATAATCTCATTGTAGTGTTTATTTAGTGTAAAGGATTCTGTTAAAGTCATGTTTACTCCTCCTCAGTTCCATGGGACATTAATACAAGACAGTATATTTGCTTTAGTACATATGTTTGCCTGTACATTAATTTTAGACATAATTTATTTCATATTATGGAGGAAACGACTGTTTTTTTAATAACAGGCTGTCTTGTTTCATAAGATGGCTCACTGAAGGAAAGATTATTTGAAATTTTTATTTATTTATATATTTATTTAATTGACATGTTGTAATTGTACATATTTATGGTGCTTCAGATACACCAAAACATCAGTAATGAAGTTGTATAATGATCCGATCAGGGTAGAGTATCCAAAACCTCATGTGTTTTATCATTTATTTGTGTTAAAAGCATTTAAATGCCTCTTTTGTAGCTCTTTTGTAATATACAATAGTTTATGCTCTACTGTATAACAGAACACCAGAATTTAGTCTTATTATCTAGTTAGAACTTTTTACCCATTTACCAGGCCCTCCTCCCCCAACCTTTTCCTCAGTCCCTGGTAACCACTTTTGTACTCTTAGTTTCTCTGATGTCAACTTTTATTTATTTACTTTTTAAGATTCTGCATATTCATGAGATTGTGTGATATTTGTCTTTCTGTGTCTGGTTTGTTTTACTTAACATGAAGTCCTCCAGGTTCATCCATGTTGTCACAAAGGACAGGATTTCATTCGTTTTTTTCTGGATAGTATTCCCTCATGTTTATATATTATAATTTTTTTACATTCTAAATTATTTATTTGGTTGGTGTAGTAGAAATTGTAGCTTTTCCATTATGTTCAATTGCAAAACGTAATGGCAAAACATAATATCAGGGTGTGAAATCCTAATTTGTGAACTTTTCTTAAATTTAATACTAAAACCAAATTTTTAAATATATAAAAGGGTCAGTGTGATAGAAAGTAAAAAGTAAAGAACACCAGGCTGTGTTCCTCACTTAAAAGCACTTTATTATCCAAAGCTAAGTTGAACCTTCTCTCTTTATAAAAATGTGGGGACTATAGGTTATTTTCAAATAGTTCTCTAGTTGATAGACTCCTGTGAAAAGTACTTTTGTTTGGAGGCAAATCTAAATTTCAAATCTAGCTTTATTTATTTATCTATATCATTCATAATGTAACATCTTCCATGAAGCATTGCTATGAGGTAAATTTATCAGTAATCTAGCTTAGCATATGACATATAGATGATGCTATTGCAAAATGTCCATTTCCTCAACTTTGTTCTTTCTTCTGGCTCTTCCTTCTTATTCTAAGTTTCAATCATTTACCTTAAGAAATTTTATACTTAGGCCTACAAAAGTTCTTGCAGTTAGAAAACTATCATAGTACATTTGCAAAGCACATATATAGCGTTAAATCAGTTCCATATGGAGAATTCTATTAAGATGTATCTTTGCAAGTTTTGAAGAGAATACATACGACCTTCAAACAGACTAAAAAGTAATGCCTAGAGATAGACACAGCCTTAAATACAAGAAATCATATTTTCACATCAAACAGTATTCTGCCAGTCAGTGGAAATTTTAAATTGTCTAATAACCCACGGAAATGTATGCCTTCTGCAAAAATGCCAATAGCATTATCTTTGTAAACTGGGCCACCGTTTGAAGAAGTCATGTAAGCTAGCCAAAATTCAAACTGATTTATGTTTTCAGTATCCGTAAGAGTTGTTGTGTGTAATAAACATGAAATGAGGAGGAGTCCATAAAGTTCCAAGTCTTTATCATGTACATAAAATATATTTACATATTTTAGAGTTATATCAAGTTTAAATGCCTTTGAAATTTGAAGGAAAAAAGAAATATATATGTATATGTCTCTCAACAAGAAAAGGCAAATTCCAATTTAATGATCAAATTTGGTAAGAGTGGCAGACTCTAAAAGTAGAAAAGAATGAGATAATACATATATCCGGATTCTTAGGAGTTGAACTTCATAAATCTCTCATCTGTGTTATGAATTAATTTACAAGAAACTCTATAAATAGGATTTTATGTGAACACCAATGTCACATATACAAATCTGGGAAGCATCCCAGTCAACATTCTTTATCTGTATTAACTTCAAGCGTACTGAAAAACACACTCACAAAATTACTTGGGAAGGTATAATGTCTTTCTTGATTGATGGTAGGAAAAGTTTATCTGACTGTTTGCAGATTCCAGTTTCACACAAGGCCAAAAATACCTAGTCTTCAGTAATCTCAAGCAATGAGGCTAGAAACATTTTCTTTGTGACTAAATGTCTTTCAATTCAGGAAAGTTTAGAATTAAGTCTAGAGTCTAGTTTGAAAAAAATAATAGTAGTAGTAGTTTGTAAAAAGAAGCAAATATCAAATTGAAATTCTACAAATGTTATGTACTATTAGAGCATTTAAGAAAATTTTAAATTATCTATATATTTATTTTATTAAACATTAATGAATATTTTAATTCAGAAAAGTATTATTTGCTAAGTCAGGCAGTTAAAGTACTTATAAAATAAATCAAATATATTAAATTTTTAAATGCAGTTAAAATATTTGATGATTAATTAATTAAGTTTGTAAATGGGATCAAACATTACTCAAAGCCAACAAAAAGTGATTGTTAATACTAAATGTTAATGCTAAATGTATAAACAGGATAATAAAAATCTGTCTGCTGGACTTAAGGCTTAAACATTTCTGTTATAACTTTTAATGTTTTAAATCATAATATTGAATTAAAGTAAACTTCTCAAGAGTATTTTAAGTAGACAAAAACCACTGCTGAAAAATCCGAAAATCTTACAGAAATGAAAAGACCTATTTTATCATGTCCCATCTTAGCATCTTGAGAAAGTCATTTGATTTCACTCTACCTCAGACATCAGATCTATGGAATAGGGATAAAAATAACTACTATTTAATATAATTGCTTTGAAGATTGACAGAAACTGCATAAGGAGTATTTATAGAGCACTTGGAACATAAGTGAACAATAATAGGTATTGTTATTATTAAAACTCTTAGTGACCTTTTAAAATACAATTATTCTGATTTCAGCACTTAAAACGTTCTTTTAAAATACAAATCTGGTAATCTCAATGCCAATATATGGAACTGAATTTAATAAAATCTCTGCTACTGAATACCTTCTTGGTAATTTGCCTGTGGAAATGTTAGGAACATTTTGTAAATTAAACAATCAAAGAATTTTCAAATAGTAAGAAACGTATTTATTCATATTTTTCCAAAATTTTAAAACATAAAATTGTGCTCATAAAATTTTTAATTGCAGTAATAAACCTTCAGTAAATAGGAAACTCAAGTTTGCCAAGGGACTTCTTTCTTCTTTCTTTTTTTCTTTTCAGTTCATTGGAATATTTCTCAGGAGATAAGAGTTTGTCTTTGGCTTATACAAAACAAAACAAACAAAAGCCCTTTACTACTAATAAAAGCAGTAACAATAGAACTTGGGCTATATAAGATAATATGTATGCCATCTTAATGCAGTATAAATCTGTACCACCTAGACGGAATCAGTTTCCTAAAGATTTAAAGATAGTTAACTACTGTAGAAATGTGAAATTGAGAATCAGTGGTTAGAGAATATTAATATTAGATATATATACTTTTTTTTTTTTTTTTTGAGAGGGGGTCTTGCATTGCTGCCCAGGCTGAAGTACAGTGGCACGATTTTGGCTCACTGCAACCTCTGCCTCCTAGGTTCAGGCAATTCTCTTTCCTCAGCCTCCCAAGCAGCTGGGATAACAGGCAGCCACCACCACCCCTAGCTAATTTTTTATATTTTTAGTGGAGATGGGGTTTCACTATGTTGGCCAGGCTGGTTTCAAACTCCTGACCTTGTGATCTGCCTGCCTTGGCCTCTCAAAATACTGGAGTTACAGGTATGAGCCACCTTACCCGGTCAATATATATACTTTTAAGCCTAGAAATTCTCTACAAATGTCAAATGCTAGCAAACTGCAAATATGCATTATGAAATATCAAATGTGATTTAACATTGAATATGAATAAATTGTATTAGCTTCTCCTACGTTCAAAGAAAAAGACCCACTGATGTAAATACAACATTTTTAAGTACAACACAAACCAATGAAAGAGAAATTAAGATTCATTAAATTATTGTGTTCCTGAATATCCAGGTATTGGGCATACCTTGAAATACAGAAGAATATGTCTCTCATAGATTTCTTCACAATTAAGTAACAAGAGTAGAAATACGGGTCTAAGGAAGAAAACATCCAATCAATTTTGATTTGGGTTCATTATAGTGAAATGTCTTTTTCATGTGTAAATAAAATCTCACGGTTGTCTTCACTATCAGATCACTTTAAGGAAAATTTAATAAAGTCATTCATTTAGCAAGTATGTATTGAGCAATTACTGACACCACACAGATGCTGTTAATGCATCAAAGAACAAAATTGATAAGGTTCTCCTCTAAAATTTACAATCCAGTAGTAAAAGTATAAGGCTACCTTTCTCCTACTTTGCTATTTTCTGTTAAAGTGAAATCGTTAGCAACATACTGAGATCACATCTCTAAAACACCAAAAATTAGCCAGTCGTTGTGCTGTGTGCCTGTTTTCCCAGCTAGTTGGGAGGCTGAGGTGGGAGGATCCTTTGAGACCAGAAAATCCATGCTGTAGTGGGTGATGGAGCCAGACCCTGTCTCTAAAGAAAAGAAAAGAAAAAAGAAAAGAAAAGAAAAGAAAAAAGTTATTTTTGATTTAATGTTAACCTTAGCAAAATATTAATTAAATATTTGGCAACATTAGTCTAAATGTAAAGGAAAAGGATTCATTTTGACTAGAAAAAATCGGTGAGAAAACCTCTTTTAATTGCAACTATTTTTATTTGTTTCACGTCTGCTAAGTGATATATATTTCTATTGACAAATACCATAATCAGACTTCTCAGGTCTTCAATGATAAAAGTTAATTCTGTTAACTGTGTGCTCTTAAACTGTTGAGGGAGAAAAGAAACATTTTCAAATCTGATTGGGATCAGCAATGTACTCTGATTAATATAGATTTTGTTTCTCCATTTTTAAAGGACTAGAACCCCAGGCTAACTTAAATCTCCTTTCTTATTTTTTCTGGCAATGTTACCATACTGACAGATTTCAGTAAACTGTTAAGTAAAGGAAAAAAATATAGTATATGTCATGTCTTTCTTTTCTTGATGATATTCCAGTATAATTAAATAGTTGAAAAAGAAAATTATTTGCAGAATAATTCTAGTCAATAACTACAGAAGAGATGTTAGAATTAGAAAGTAACTTTTATAAGCGTAATTAAATAATAGGTCTGTTCAATGATCATTAATAGATGTTGAAACTATATGTGTAAATCACAAAAGTAATACTGGCCTCTAATGAATGTATCGATTAATTTTATCATTACTAAAAATGGAATTAAGCATAAAGCATGCCTCATGCTAAATGCAGTAGAATAGGAAATGCACAAAACACTAAATTCATACCTTTTACTGACTCATCCCTGATTACAGGAATATCGAGAGTAGGGAGTAAGAAACTGCTAGAGATAGGCAGATGCTCATAAACAGTAAATTTTGCATTGGAAAAAGTTCTCCCTCTGTTATAAAAAGGAATTGAGCTAATGAGAGTTGAAAGTTTTCATTATTCCTTCTTATTTGTCTTACTTACATAAGGAAAAATTGGAACATTCATTTCCTGTCATCAACTGGAGTTTATATATTCTTTGGCCCTATGGTTACTAAATATAAAAGCAAATGAATTTATATAAGTCACCAGCGTGGTGAGTGTATATGTTTTATTTTAACTTTATTAACTTAATACTTATTTCTGCAATGGTTTGTTAAATTAGAGTTAGTCTTATACTAGATACTTGCTTAACGCTTATTAAATATAAGTGAGATCAGGAGTTTGAGACCAACTGGCCAACATGTTGAAACCCTGTCTCTACAAAAACTACAAAAATTAGCCACACGTGGTGGTGAACACCCGTAGTCTGAGCCACTTGGGAGGCTGAGATGAGAGAATTGCCTGAACCCAGGAAGCAGATGTTGTAGTGGGCCAAGGTCATGCCACTGCACTCCAGCCTGGGTGACAGAGTGAGACTCTGTTTCAAAATAATAATAATAAAATAATAATATATATATGAGGATATATATAATATATATAGGATATTTCAAATAATAATAATAAATAATATAGGATATTTCAAAATAATAATAATATATATATGAGGATGAGAAAATAATTTAAAGAATATAACCAGTATGTTGAATACAGTGATATAATATGTATGTTATATGCAGATTATTTGAATATGTATGATCAAAATGAAAAGATACATTAATTCAATTAAAACATACATTTCAGACTTTGATTGGTACTAGACAGTGCTTGGGAATATGTATGTAAAGGAAGATATGGTAAAGATGTTGCTTAATTTCCTTTTTTACTGGTCTTTTTTTTTTTTAATGCTACAGATGTAATTTTATTTGAATCATTTTTTTGCATTAAAAAATTATCCACATGCATTTGTTTTACTAAATATTATTCTTTAAAAATATTGCAGATCAATACTGTTCTTGACCACATGGATATGAATTAGATTTTTTTGAACACATTGTTTTTAGACCTGTAAATAAATAATGGCCTTTTGTTTCCTCTCTCTATTACCTTTCAGGATGTGTTTACCATTAAGCTTTTCCCAACTAATGCTCCATACTAATTCCTCCGCCATTCATAAACAGAGTATTATAAGGTCTAATTCTCTTGAAAGTCAGAGTTAAACAGTGAGTCATTGGGTATTGTAAGAACTTTTGATTTTCCTCTAAACATTAAATAGGTTTCAAAGAACGCTTACTAAAAAGTAAGCCCTTTAATACAAAAGTTTAAAGAATAACCAGAAAAAATATATAATGAAGAACAAAGGCAAGTAGAAATTGCTGCCTATTGGACTGCTTTAAGCAACCACATAATTTATCATCTAAACTGATCATTTGAAAATGCACTATTAATAATTACATTGGAACAGTTTGTGACCTGAGTCTGTACCAGCTAAAGTAGAATGTGTGATCACTCTAGAACTGCCTACTAAAGAATTTTCAACATACATTAATATAAAGGTAACAACTCAATTCTTATCTCTTCTCCTCCACAAAAAGAAGCAGTAAAGGTATGAGGCTTAGTCTTCACATTCAAAACACTTTTTTAAAGTTGAATGCAGATTGTAGATAATAATTTAAAAAAACAGATGCTTTGAAAATCATTGGACAATTTATACATTGAACATGCATTTTTTAAAAAAAATGGTCATTTTGTTATATCTTTTTAAAAGTCAGAAATGAAGTCTAAGAAATAAAACAAGCAGAGATAATGTCTTTCAGAGTAAGAAAGTCTAAAAATATTTTACTTATAAGACAGAAATAAAGTTTATTAAAATATTCTCTACATTATAAAAGTGGTTTCATGATTTTTAATCTATTAAGCTAGTTTTAAAAATAAAACATAGGAGATAACCTTAATTATGATTTTACATGTGACACAAAATAATAATGTATTTTGTAATTTTTGTTTTGAAATTCTGCTAGAAATATCATTGTAATAAAAGTGTGATTTTGAAATTTAAATACATTCCAAGTAGCTTTATTATGTTATCCAACTTTTTGTCACATTATTGCTCTTTAAATAAGCAAAATAGGTGAGACTCAGTGGCTCACACCTGTAATCTCAGCACTTTGGGAGGCCGAGGTGGGTGGATCACCTGAGGTCAGGAGTTCAAGACCAGCCTTACCAACATGGAGAAACCCTGCCTCTACTAAAAATACAAAAGAAAGAAAGAAAGAAAACAAAAGAAAAGAAAAAAATAGCCAGGCATGGTGGTGCATGCCTGTAATCCCAGCTACTCAGAAGGCTGAGGCAGGAGAATCCCTTGAACCCGGGAGGTGGAGGTTGTGGTGAGCCCAGATCATGCCATCGCACTCCAGCCTGGGCAACAAGAGAAAAACTCCAACTCAAAATAAATAAATAAATAAATAAAAATTAAAAATAAATAAAAATGCAAAATAATGCCCCTAAACAATGATTCTGCACTCTGCATCCACTCTTGAATTTGATGAAATTCCATATCAGTTACGATTTTAGCATAAAACTTCTCAAAAGGTTGATGATGATTTAATTAAGGGGCTATTTACAA